GCCTATTGTTGCTGTTCCAACACTCAGGTTCTGCGTCACCAAATCGCTCCTCGACGGCTTGCGAGATTAGCCCTTTCAGTCTTTGCTGAAAGTCCCCAATTATTGTTCAGGCCAGTCGCATAAGTCGCGATGGGGAAGACCGAAACTCATCTAAAGGCAGTTCATGGATTACGAGATTCTGGCCATTCTGGTAGATCGTCCTTGCACACCGACACAAGAACTGACATAAAACGTGTAATCTGCCAACGTCGTCAGCAGTAAGTGAGTCTAGAGCACTGATGCTGGCGTACATTTAACTTCATTTGAAAGAGAATGTGGAGGAGATTCGTAACTTGGCCTCACCGGACACCGAAACAGGATCGCCTGGCACTTACGAATGCCAAACTGTGCGTATGAGCGCCAGGCTCAACTTCCTGCAACCCCAATAAATACGAGCTGAGATTTCGTACGTCGTTTGACGATAAACGTCAGATCTAGACATCATCATTTACTAAAATTTACCAAAAAACACTAAACCAAGAAAGGTATCCGGCTGAAATGCTACCTATCTATCTCAATAAGATGTAATGTTTTTAGGTGAATTTTCACAAATACTGGCTTCTTGCTCTGACGATGTCCGTCACACGATGGACGAAAGCCCAGCATGTATTCATCGAGTTATCAGAACGGTTAGGCGAGGTCTTCTTCGCACAGTCTAGCATTCCCCATCGTTTCGGAGTAGGCCAATTTATGAAATCTCTTTACCCACCATTTTAAACGAAATGAAAGTACGCCAACATCAATCTGTTGGAGGCTTCTTCGGAAGCCATCTTATATTCATAGTCTAGGACATTTTTAGGTCCGCCTAAAGTTACTGAGTTTTCTATTTTTAAAAATGTTGACTCACTTGTGTAAATTTTGTTGATTTTAGTAACCTTCGGCCGACAGCTACAGTTTTTCGGTACATATTCAATGGTCTTCTCAAGGATGAATCGTCTTTCGCCCTCTTTCTGCTCTTTTGAGACGGTCTTCTCTGCCTGCTTGCAGGCGTTCATGTCCCTTTCTTCGGTTTTTACCAACACACGAACACATCTTTTTTGTGCGTTCTCGCGCTCCACGAAGTATTTCATCACGAGCCGTCGGTCCTGCCTGCATGTCACCGTGGTGGAGGTGTTGGCACACTTGCACTTGACGACACTCTTCTCCTCTGCAATTCGGCAACTACAATTCGACTTGACCAGCTTCCGAGTGATCACATTTCGTACTCCATTTGTGCAGTTCCCTTTGCTCGGTCTGAGTCTTTCCCGCGCTGGATGGCACTCGGGAACCGGTGTCATCTTCTGCTCCACAGTTTCACTGCAACCATTGGAGCTGGCAGGATTTTTCACTTGTCTGGTTGTCGTCACAACGTAGGTGCTGAAGCGAGTACAAGGGAGGAAGTGAAAAATGGACAGACACTTAAGGCCTTGTAGAAAGAGTCGAAAATTAAGGTCTTCGAGTCTATCACTAGATCTTGACCATATCCTTAGTCACATTGGATCACTTAATTTGAACTGGTAGAAAATTTTCCCACAATGAAATGACTTTGCCTCATCTCCAAAAAGATATTCTAATCCCGGTTGGACTGGAAGGCAGCAACCACCTCGCTTCGGTCTCATAAGCGTTCCCAACGGGAATCGAACCCGGTCTATGTTAGGGCAGCATATAATTGCGTTGTGTTAACGTTAATTCATGCAGCCACAAGAGCTATTCATTGACAGGATAAATGTGAATTTAAGGCATGCTAGGTCCATTCACTTATGCTTTTTTTCTATTTATAGTTGGAATGGTGCGGAAGCAAGCATGCTATTTGCCATTATAGTCGACAACATAGCTCTTGTTCGAAATGAGTAGGTTCTCTAGACAATCAGAAGACCTTGGATGAGTGATTTGGCCATAATTTGCCACTCAAGGTAATCAAGAAAGAGGATTGCTTCAGCGACAATACCTCACTAAAAATGCTATATTGGAGACGCCTTGCTTGCTTATATGTTTACTTCTGTCTATGGACCGAATGACAGTTGTGATAGGGTTATATGATGATCACATGTCGAGAATATGCGTTGCAGTGACAAGGTTCAATTCCTGCTGAGATTGATGAAAAGATCCAGGTCAAATCAAACCTGCAGTTGAGTCTAGTCAGGATGAGAAAAACTTGTGAAAGGCAAGGTCGAGTGGCATTTAATTGAATTTTGAAGCCTAAGTATGACATTTTGTAAAGATTCATGATCAGTCCTTTGCAAAAATAGAAGAAGAGTGAATATGTCTCTTGTTTCTAGAAAATATTGGTGGGGGAACTTTCATTTCGTATGAAAGTGCATGAAGAAAAGATTCGTAGATCGATCTCAAGAGAAGAGGACAACTGAATCCCGTTGTACTTTTATACGACGTTCAGATTGACACAGTCAACAAAATCTCCTCCCTCGATTCGGGTGAAAATTGGCTGAGCTCTC